GTAAATTTTGCACAAAGGAAATGATCAGTTTCCGTTTAATGATCGTTCTTTTAAAACTGCCTAGCTGTTCAGTAAGCATCTCCCTAAAATTTTAGCCTCCCAGCTCTTCTGGCTACCGGGTTAGCAATTTTCTCGCCAAATCTTTCATGTGCCCGTACGCAAGAACCCCGAACGCCTAGGCGGTGAATTTGAAATCTTTGGCTCACGCATGCACAGAGAATATCCCCGCAAAGTTTCACCTCTATACCTTATCTGATTCTCGAGATCGCTTTCCCGCCAAAAAATTCGCGTAATTTTTAAGGAATCCGCACATGGGACCCAGGTGTACGCGGACGATGATATTAAGATGGGAGGTCGCACATGGTGCAAGCACATATTTCCGAAGTTCCAGACTTCTAGCTTTTCTGGTTCTCGAGTTGAAAGTGGGTGACAAAAACTGCGAACACGCAGACACACAGACAGCCTCTTGCCAAAATGCATTTTTGCGTTTGCATATACGCAAGAATGCATAAAAATGAAAAGAAGCCTGTGATAAATTTTACTCAAACCAGCCGTAATTTCATCGTGGCGCATTACAGCGCCATGAGTATTTTTTGGCTGTGACGGACAACACTGCAAAATCTGTCTATTAGTGAAATTGGCTTTCATTCTTTCGTCTTCATTCTTTGTGCCCATCAACAGCAGCGTCAAATGTATTACATCTTCACTACCACTTCTGTGGCCCTACATCTCAAATACCAGTAATAATCCTCATACAGTATTTCACAACAGCCACGACTAGCAAAAAATATGAACTAGGCATCCATCGTATACGAACTTCAAAGCACTGCGCTTTGATTGACAAATATCCACTAAGGCTTTAATCCTTTGTCGCAGAAGCATATACCAAAAAAAGAAAAAAAAACGAGGTACCTTGAGACAAGCCATCGATGGATACTTCCAAATTTTGAGTTCATTGCCAGGATACCCATGTGCAGTAATAAATTCCTTATAATTTGGAGTGAAAGCAATTCCGTTGACCTAAAATAAGCAAAAAAATTATTAAAAGATGTGAGGAGAATGCTCGTAATATGCCAAAAGGTGTGGTGAATCTTTACCTGACTCATCGTATCCTGGCTATGGCAAAGCGTGCCAGTGGCAAGATTCCAAAACTTCACTGTTCGATCAGTGGTACCACCACCAGTTGCCAGCGAATGAGGGTGATGAGGATTGAAAGCAAGGGCTTTCACCGATGCAACATGGTCGTCGAAGGAGTGCAACGGCATCTAAAAGAATGGTTTTTACAAACAATATTTTGTCGTGTAATACATCAAATAATGATTAATGGTTTTTGTTAGAAGTAGGTTAAAGAACAACTGCGATACTATGACGCAATACCTCTGTCCCTGGTTCAAACTTTGGCCACCCTACCCTCATTGAACTTTCGATCTTTGTCCCCTGGGGTATAAAAGCACTTCCCCCCCATCGGCGGGATCGCCACTATCCATCCCCACTGTGACCTATTTTTTTTAACTTATACTCCGGCTCCCCAAAGCCTCACCACCTTTGTATGCATTATCTCTTTAACTTACTATGTTCTAATAAATATGTATATAGGACGCGACGTCGTACACACACATACACACTCCTACAACCGGGGTACACACTAGCCTAATAAGCTAACAGTTAAGGTCGCGATAATTTTTTAGCTACACAATTCAGTCTTAAACTTAGTGAGAGAACAGAAGGGGGAGGGAGTAGCAAATTCGAGACTAACATGCGATCGACCGCAGGAATTCTCTGGGCACTAAGCGACGAAACTGAGTGGACGGCGAATAACTGGCGAGAAAGGGGGAGGTGGGAGGGGGCTAAATGATACTGTTGCTTTTTTTCATAACCGTTTTACAAACCCAAGCTAAATGTTACAGACGAATGCGAAAACCGATGCAAAATACGATTGCGAAATTCAGAACGAAGTACGGAAAAGAAGCCATATACACAAAACATATATGACAATTAAATATTCTAAAAAAAACACCAAAGAATGCGAATAAAAGATAATTGTCGGTAATGTAAGCACTAAGAAGTATCCAGGAATACCGAAGAAGTTCGATTCCCTTCCAGCTCGTATTCATTTAAAAAAAAAAAAAAAACAAGATCTCCTAACGCAATACCACGAGTAGTAATTACGAGAAAATATGTGTTTAATCGTAAAACGCTGACTAGGTACACAAATCAGGTAACAGTTGCAAACTGCTGAAAACAGGCAATTCCGGGGCGAAAAGTTTGGTAAGAATGAGTTCAGTGTGCGAATGCATTTCAGCTTTTCCGCATAATATCAACTTTTTGACTCACCGGGTTTCCGAATTGGGAAATTTTTTACGTGTAATTCTGTGTGCCCCGGCCTG